TGTGTGTACGTGCGTGCGTGCGTGCATGCGTGCGTGCGTGTGTGTGCGTGTGTATCTGTGTGTGTACGTGCGTGCGTGCGTGCGTGTGTGTGCGTGTGTGTGCGTGTGTCTCTGTGTGTGTACGTGCGTGCGTGCGTGCATGCGTGCGTGCGTGCGTGTGTGCGTGTGTGCGTGTGTGTTCCTCTCATCCACGGATGTTACCATTCCGGGGCGAGGCATCGATCTCCACTGCATCGATATGATGACAACTCGTTTAATCGCTAAGAGCGAGATATTTAAATAGTCATTATTTGCCACGCTCATTGCAATTAAAATCAGTTCGGTTAGTAGTGGAGACATATCGCGATCACGTCAAAATTGAATAAAAAATGTTTGTTATCAACCGGTTACGCATCCTAAGAGTTTAGGCCGCCTCTAAAAAAGAAGCTATGTAGGTGGCGCTACTCGCCCAATATTTATACTAAGATGTGCATATTAGTGGTGACTAAGCGATTTCTCGTTTTATCTTTTTATCTTTTTCATGTGATATCTTGCGTTTTGTTTGTTTTAGAGAGCAATTATCTTCTCCTGTTTGCTCTGCTATAAAAGTATGTCCATAATATAAACTAGGACATTCAAGTTATGCAAACTAAAATTAATGTAAACAAATGCATGCGCTACAATTTTTAATATTGTAGTATTAAACATATGTTATAAAACTATAAACTATACTTGTATATAGTACATAGTAATTTAAAAAAATGCAAAAGACTGTAGTAGGTGAAATGACGTCAACTGATTTAGAGTCACAGGAAATATCTTTGTAGTTTTAAGAAATTTTTACAATCCAAGTGGAAATGTTTGACTGAATCGCGACGTTAGTCGTCCACCATTTTGACACCACGTTATCCAAGACTCCACGTTTTCTTGCCGCAATCTTTGAGACATTTACCACCGTTGCGTTACCGCCATGTTGGAAACTATGGAAGCCCTGAAACGACATACGACGTTTTGAGTTTCCCAGTTTTCGAGCGGCATATTAATTGCGTCCTACTCGTGTATATAACGGCATATTAATTGTCCTACTCGTGTATATAGCGGCATATTAATTGTCCTACTCGTATATATAGCGGCATATTAATTGCGTCCTACTCGTGTATATAGCGGCATATTAATTGTCCTACTCGTGTATATAGCGGCATATTAATTGTCCTACTCGTCTATATAGCGGCATATAAGGACGTAGCGCAGTGCGCTAAACAGCGTGTTATTTTCGTATTTGTGGCAAACTCTATCGTAGGAAACCGTTCTAACATAGCAGAATGCCCTAGTTCCTGAGATCGGCGATTTAGTGGTCCAATGGGTCCCCATCTTTAAAAATATCAGAGACTGGCGCGGCGTAGGCTGTGATTGGAAGACACAAAGTGTCAATCCTCGGCGCGCCTCGGCATCATGGCCGCATCATGTCTAGTATATTATTTCTATGATATTCCTATATTTCTATGGGACATATTTCTATGATCTAACACTAGTATATATATTCTCATAGGCCGGACGTACATCCATCGTCACTGTCGACTTGTATTGTGACGTGTCGTACACCCAGCGATCGCACGTCACTTCCTCCCACTGCCCGACCTCGCCCGACGTCCAACTGTTGCTGTAGTTTCGCGCGTAGTAAGTGCACTTGCTGTACTCGCCACGCTTGTCGTCGTACGGAAGGGTGCCGTTGAAGTCGATGTCATCGTACTGCGGGTCGGATGAGTCAAGTCCAGGTATGTAACACCTGCACGCGCGTAGCAAGAAGCCAAGAGCAGACGAACGTTAGGGAGCTTGCAATTATGACGATATAGCGGCGCGGGGGGGGGGGGTTCTGCGACCTCTAATATGGTCAAACCTATATATGACAAAGGCCCTTACGAGGGTCACTCAAAAGAAATGCTTAAGTGTCAATTTTGACAGTAGTCCGTTTCGTGATAAGGGTCACCCAAGAGTAACGCATATGTCCTTTATAGACAGGTGTCCATTCTATAAAGGTGGTTTCACTGTATAGCTGACACTCAATGGAAATACGAAAGGTGTTCTTTATATCCAGACGCTATGTGGGTGGATAACCCGATACTGCGTGCGTGCGTGCGTGCGTGCGTGCGTGCGTGCGGTTTGGTGACACCTTCTGCTAACCTGTGTTCGGGTATGGCGGCGAGGAAGACATACGCCAGGCTGTGCAGTCCATTCGTTACAGCGGCCAGTAGCAGCGCGAAATAGATACGCCTCTGGTACTTCCCAAAGTCTCCTAGATACTTGATTGCCTCGTCATAGTCTACCATCGTGGACGTCTAATGCTGTCCCTATAGCGCATACAGCAACGTACGCACACATTATACACATAATATGTTATCATGCCTGTACTGTATAGGTGTTCGTGGCAATACTACTGCACTATGCACTGATGCATACGCGAATGTTACCTGTAGGGGGAGTGAAATGTTACCTATAGATCTATTTCCTGTAGCATCGCTGTGATAGTCCCGACAGGGGAACACACAGGTGAGAGAGAGAGACAGACACACTCAGAGAGAGACAGAAAAAAGAGCAAAAGTGGGAGCCGAAAGAGGGCGAGAGGTGGAGAGTGCGTGCGAGCATGCGCTCGCGTGTGCGCATGTGTGCGTTGATATATGACCCGTATATGGAAAGGGAAAGTAAAATATTGTTGGGGAGAAAGAACCAAAATAATGTCAAACTAAGTTTCTGAACGATTTCTCGGGTATTGCACATGCCCACTGAAACTGTCATTGAAACTACCCTCACTGTCATCGATGTCTGTCCGTAAATATATTCTAGAAACACGCAATCACGCTAAACGACTAGGAGTACAACGCTAAATCAGTGAAATTCCATCAAACAGTCAGATAGACTGAACATACATCTAACAGTCAGCAGAACACACATCTGACAGTCCCTCCTACCTCTCCTGCGATTCCTTTTACCTCGGTGTATTTGGCAGACTGTAAACTCACTCGCACATCGCACATTTGTACAAGTCATGTGACTCACAGAGAACGTAGACACACGCACACGAGGTGGATGATCACGGAATACTACCAACGCAAACTCGAGCGCTCCGACAATCACTCGCAGCAGACGAACAGTGCACGAGACGATAAGTCGGTGCAGACGATCTATGTCAGTGACGAAGACTATCTACCGACTGTGTGTGTGTGTGTGTGTGTGTGTGTGTGTGTGTGTGTGCGTGCGTGCGTACGTGTGCGTGTGTGTGTGTGTGTGTGTGTGTGTGTGTGTGTGTGTTGTGGTGTGTGTGTGTTGTGTGTGTGTGTGTGTGTCGTGCCGTGCGTGCGTGTGTGCGTGTTGTGCGGTGTCTCCTTGTGTGGTACGGCGTGCGTGCTGGCATGCGTGCGTTGCGTGTGTGTGTGCGTGTGGTTCTCTCATCCAGCGGATAGTTACATTCGGGCGAGGCATCGATCGTTCCATGCTGATATGATGGAACTCGTTATATGGCTAAGAAGCGGATAGTTTAATATTCATTAGTTTGCCACGCTCATTGCATTAAAGATCAGTTCCGGTTTATAGTAGTGGAGACATATCGCGATGCAGGTCAAATTGAATCAAAAATGTTTTGTTATCAACCCGAGTACAGCATGCCTAAGAAGTTTAGAGGCCGCCTCTAAAAAGAAGCTATGTAGGCTTGGCGCTAACTCGCCGCCAATATTTATCTAAGATGTGTATTGTGGTGATAAGGATTTCTCGTTTTAAATTTTTATCTTTTTCATGTGATATCTGGCGGTTTGTTTGTTGGACGAGCGAATTATCTTCTCCTGTTGGCCTCTGCTATAAAAGTATGTCTCATAATATAAACTATGACATTCAAGTTATGCGAACTAAAATTAATGATAACAAAGTGCGATGCGCTACGATTTGTTAATAATTGTAGTATTAAAACATATGTTCAAAAACTAATAAACTATACTCTGTTTGAATAGTTAGTATTTAAAAAATGGCAAAAAGACTGGTAACGTGGTAATGCGTCAACTGATTTAAGTCCAGGAATATCTTTGTAGTTTTTAAGGAAATTTTATATTGCAATCCAATGTGGAAATATTTGACTGCAGTGCGCGACGGATGGTTGAGTCGTCCACCAACAATTTTGACACGCACAGTATCAGCAGACTCCACTGGTCACTGCGCAATGCATTGGAGATCATTTACCACGTTGCGTTAGGCCCGAAGCGACCGCCCGCCGCATGTTTGGACAACATGGGAAGCCCTGACGACATACGAACGGTTTTGAGCTTTTCCGCAGTTTTCGGAGAGCGGGCATAATTAATTGGCGCTCTACTCGGTGTATATAACGGGCATGTTAATTGTCCTAAAATACTCGGTGTATATAGCAGGCCTATTAATTGTCCTAAACTCGTATGATATAAGGCGGCATATTATTGTCTATCGTATAATATAACGGCAGCAATATTGAAGTGATGCATTCCTTAGACCTCGTATACATGAGGGGGCATAGTTAGTCCTGAACGTCGTATATTAATAACCGGGGCATATTATGGCAGCCCAAAAAACCCAGGATTGACATCGGTTGCACTCGTCACAAGCGACAGGATTGCCCGTCTAACTAAATGCCGCAGAATTGAAAGGTCGGCGTGTGAGCAATGCTCTGCGGCCAAAGTGCAGCGTGTTTAGCCGACACGGCTGCGACGCGTAGATTCAGTCACCGTTTGACCAACACATGGTGACATGGCCCTCAACAGAATCATCGAGACGGAGCGACAGGAAGTGTCATTAGAATACAATATCTTTGCGCTGGGGGACCGTTTATCACCGAAAAATGAGTTTTACTCTGGGAAGCAGTCGGGGACCATCATAGCTGAGTCAGGAACTGGCGAAGGGCAGGGCGAGAGGGAATTCTTCGGCTTACATGCTAAGAATTGCCCTGCAGAGTTACACCATCGGATCAGTGGCGTACATCACATGATGACAGGACAAGGCTATTGCTACGAGCACGTCACGGAATGGACAGCGCTTTCTGATGCAGGCAACAGCAAACTGCTTGATTTGTCCAATACCGTCCAGGGGGGGTGCTTGCTGCCACTCCCTGTAACGCATCTGTCAGAGACCAATAACAACGAGGAGACAATGGAGCACGTGCTAAACCAGATGATGAGGCGCTACAAGATCGCAAGAACTGTGGTAACACATGTCGTGTGATCTTAGAATGCGTGACACTTGGACTGCACGGCTAACAAAGGAACTGATGGAAAGTTGTAGGTCGCTCTGACAGCGACGAATGTTTCTGATAAGATCTGATGGGTAGGTAGCAGAATCATGCAGATGAGGCTGCCGTGCGATGAGGCGCAAACGCATCTTTGAAGTCCTCACTAGGGGACGAGAGGCCACTACGCTTCTATTGACCTCAACAATTCATGGAGTGTGGAGGTAACAAATGGAACTTCACGGAGTGTTCTCACGGTTAGGGCATGATGGCAGAAGTTGGCATGATCTGGCACTGAGTTTCTCTATCGACGCACAATCGACCAAGTCATCTAATAGTGTCGCTAGTCAATGATAGACGCAGTTGCAGATCATAGATGAAACATATACTGCCCGAGATATAGTATGTAACCGATAGACAATTACTAGTAGCCTCGAACATATATGTGATTTCCATGTTGTAGGCAGCATGTAAGGTGACTGGCGCTATTGCTGTATGTCGTAGATTACTCACTCGGAGTCTATCAAAGCAGGTCATTGATATTAGTGGAGTTAAGCTGGAAGGACAGCCTAATCGGAGGTCTGACAAGAGAGCGTGAGCAAGTGAGACGTAGTCAAAGCGTCTCATGTCAGTGAGTGATGGCGTTTCCATGACTAGGCGCATGGTAGAGGTTAAAACGAAGGGTGTTATGATCATAGCAGCTCACAGGTGCCTTGGCGCATACGTACAAAACTGGTGAACAAAACGACGGACATCACAAATGTCCTAAGACAAAAACAGCGTGCCAGTATGTCATAAGTACATCAGTATCCAGGGTTACTCAGTCTCATCGACATAAGAGAATCATTCCCTTCACTCAATCCGAGTCTTAGTGCGCAGCGAGTCTAGCGACGGTTGCATCGACAAGCAAGCAGCGAGTCGAGTAATGACTGGATCTTCAAGACAGAGTATGAACTCAGTTAGACAGCTGATAAAACTGATCTAGGAGCATGTTGGACAAACCTGCTTGGCGTGACATACACATGTGCAAATGGATGATGGAATCAGGCATGGTGTTACTGTAGGCTGCATAAAAGATTGCGCGCGTAACGAGTATTGTGTCACAGGTCCAAGTCAATCTATCGATGCGTCTGCACAATTGGTAAATGACTATTTCATGTGAGAGAAGCACAATAGAGCAATGTGTTAGTTCACTCTGACTCCTAAATCAGCTTGCAAGAGCTCATCGTATCACGCGTTAACGTGCCTAATATGATCTCTTCGAGTCTAATCTGTTTCATGTGTACTACACAACAGCGTCATCGAGCTATTTAGTACGCATTCCACACTTGGTGCTTTCGGCTTCCGGAGGCAGTCCTCTAGAGCCTTAAGTGCTAGGATATGATGCTGGTTAATCTTAGAAACTTCACGAACAATACTTCCAAGAGATACTTGCAAGCTCCCCAGAGGCTATAGTACATAACTCTGCGTGTCTGTGATGGCATGGGAATCTATTACCGAGTTTGCGCCAGTTCATGCGTAATGTGCTCCTATATGCACCTAGCTTATAGAGTATTCTAGTGCAAGGACCATAATACACTATGGATGCTGACATGATCACCAAAACAAGGTTAATAAGGAGATCAGAGCTCACACTCTGTCTCTGAATGGACACTCGAATAAGCTACAAAGTAATACTACAATAAGACTAGCAATAACAGCATACCGAGGAGGAGGAGGTGAAGACGACGAAATGACGGGGAATTCGTAGCCGAATAACTGTGATGCAGCGATTTTCGTAAGTGAATATATGTCAGGTCACAATATAAGACAGAGTACGCACATCCTGTTCCATTCGTGCACTTTTTTAGAGTTGCTGAGTCACTAGACTCTTTGAAATTGTGATACTAGAGATAATCCAAGAGTGATTGACTATGGCTTATACGAGGGCAGTTCTGATCTATATTAAATCAGGGTCGGTCGAGAGAGTTAGTCTGAGCCGATACTCGAACTCACACAGATAGAGGCTCACTGTACAACGAGGACAAGGCGTCGAGTCTGTTACATGGTTGAGATTCTTGATATCAGAGTGGCGTTTGGCAACAACTAAAG